ACTTTTGTAATCTTAACGTGTTTCAGCATAACATTATGCCATCCTCAGAAGAATGAGAATAAAAGTTACAAATGATTATTTAGTTCTCGCTGTTGCACAATTATTTTTGTCTTTTCAACAGTGTTGCTTAGAGTCGTGAGCGCGCGCTCGCCGTAGATATTTAGGTTTATTGCTTACAGGCCACGCCAGCGTGGATAGGTTTAAAAGTTTGGTCCACTAAAAACCTGCGTATTAGAACACCTATTTGTTTCAGTTGAGGCTTATTTAGTTCATGTTCATTACATATTTTTATTAATTTTTTAATATTTTGTTGCGAAATGTGTGCTTGAAGGATATTGTGTACAATACAAAGTAATTAATATCCATTTTAAGGATAATTTCTTCTGATATAAATTGTTTTTTTCATATCTGCAGGCTTTTAATTGTAAGTGACAAGAGGTTTAATTATACTATTGACACGTTGTCATGTGTGACGATTAGGGATTAACTTACAAAAGGRCRACATAAYKCATTGTGTCTCGGAATCATTTAAAAAGAGAAGCATCGTTTAGATCGTTAGAAGTTGTAACAAGTACCTCGTCAGTTAACAACACATGTTMAAGGGTTAAACTTYGGACTTCAGATATTTGGGCAGCAAAGACGTTCCTATGTAAKGGTTATACCAGGTGACACAGCGAAGATTTAACATTGAACACTGAACTTTAGTAATTGTAGTTGTTGTATAACTTAGAAGCCCTTTAATAATAATAGCTCCAGTAAAACTTATTGTTGTATATTMCACATTTTTTCATTCGCAATTATTTTGGTGTTTTTGCTTTCAAACCGTCACAAATTTTTGGTGTCAGAAGTGGGATAGTTTTTATGGGAGCCGGGATAAATAGGATTTTTTTGTGGTAACTCCGTCCCTAAGTGACTGAGTACCCACTATGTTATCGCGCGATGTAAACAAGATAGATCGATGGTCTGCAACAACTCAACGTAGCCAGGCGTTCCTAACCAATGCAGCCTGACGTAATGCAAAACAGAATTACGTCATTTCCGATGGGTTCACAACAAAACAGCGGAACTTCCGACCGCTGTTCGGATGTTTTTACGATAACACAGCGGAAATGCCTCGTGCGAAGTAGTGTGTTGGGTTTTCAAAGTCTGGCTATGCTAGTTTGACGGTGAGGATCTCGTTCTTTTATCACGTTTTTGCTCTTTATCAATCACAGCTTTCATTCTACATTATCGGTAGCAATGAAAAGTGTTTGCTTAATTGCTTATCAGCTTTTAACTAGAGGGATTTTCCCGTAGGGTCACCTATGACTTGCAAAATAATTTTTTATCAAATCCCTCAAAACGTGCATGTAGAACCGGCTTTTGAAGCTGAATCCAATCGTACAAGTTTTATCTCGATCAGATAAATATTTAGGGAGCACGGGGCCAAAATATGAAAAATTACGTCTTCCGGTTTCGAAGGTCGATTTAGTGCACCTCAAATAAATTAGCAAGATCAAAAGTACATATATAAGCGACTATTTAGAGCTGTTTGTGAACTCAGAAAGTTAAATATTGAATATTTTATCGATTTTTAAATTGTCCTTCATGATTTTAGTAGTTTTCAAGTGTATCCTACATAAACCTCTGTATCTCCACTGGTACATGTCCTAGCCCAAAGCCACTGCATTTGGAAATTTACCCAAAAAGGTATCTCTTTACCCATTGCCTCTTAGTAATCTTTTCTGGATTACCCATGTTCAACAACTTGTGTTTTAAAACTCCTCTATACAGCCCGAGACCCCAAAAAGCTTGACAGTACTGAGACTAGTTGAATTGACAACACAAATGAGCCTTCACATTATCAACCCTGCAAATGTGATCGAAAATTATGTAAGCATGTCGAAAAAAGCCACGAATAAGATTGGCACATTTCACATATAGAGATCCATCATGATAACTGAATAATGTACATCGCAAACTTAATAATAACTTCATAAATATTTGTCTGCCTATTTTCTGCTCCTTTTTTGGAGGAAT